AAAAAAAATGAGAAAAACCCCAGGGCTCACCAGTGCCTGCAGCTGCCTCAGGGCTTAGAGGGGCTTGTGGAAGAGCCTCCCATGTGGCGTGGGGCAGTGGGGGGCAGTGGGGATTGCCCCCTACTGGGCAGGAATGGGTGAGCGTGGGGGGTTTTGTTTTTTGTTTTTATAAAGGGCCAAAGAAACAGCAGGCAGAGCAGCGATGCGGGGGCTGCGGGAGTGAGGAGGGGGTCAGGGGGCTATTGCAGAGCCTCCCCATGCAGTGTGGGGCAGCGGGGATCACCCCTCTGCCTGGCAGCACCTGGTGAGTTGGGGCTTTTTTTTTCCAAAGTGCTGGGAGCTGGGGCAGGTAGGGCAGCCATTACCCATTTGGGAGAGTGGGCAGGGGATGGGCCTGGCTGATTTGGCTGAATTGATTCGGGACAGTGATTCAAATCACCAAATCGAATCACTGTCCCCTGAATCGCTGAATCTGAAGTGAATACTGGCTGCTTTGCACAGGCCTAGAAATAAGCAATGTCACAATCTGCCTAAATCCTCTTCCTGCATGAGGAATTGGAATACTGTCTCACAGGGATACTTTACATGCAAGCCCAATTACAAGGAATTCATTTCAGTGATGGTTCATCTCTCCCCTCATGCCCCTGCCAGTGGAACCAGCACCCTTTTCAGGGACTTGTGGGCAGTGGATTGTGGCCCTGCCTTGAGTGCTAGCCCCGCACTATTGCTGTCCTATGATCCTGGCCCCAGCCCCAGCCCTGCCTGCCCATCCTGCCCCAAGATGTTGCCCCCTGCCTGCTGGTGGCCCTTTTCTTATTAGACAAATTTACTTTTCTCATTAGAGAAATGGAATATTAGAAACAATTGTTCTCACCATCCTTGCGGGCTATGCCCTGCAAAGCCTGTAATGCACCTCATGCAATTAGGCCCTATTGACGTTATAGGGGAGCTAATAGTTTTTATGAGGCAGAGCTGGTGAGTCTCAATATACATGTTGCATATTACAGCAGTCACTTGAAAACAACAGAGATTCGTATGGTGATGAAACAGCACACAAAAGACTTGATCCAAAACCCATTCAAGCCAATGGAATGCTTCCTACTTATTTCAGAAGCCTTTAATATAGAGCGTAAGAAAAGTATGGGCTGCTGGCCCCAGCTCCTCCACCCTCTGTCCAGCCCTCAGCACAGCTTTGGAATCATGGCGGCACTCCCCCACGCTCGAAGCACTCCAATTGGCTGTTTCCGTCAGCCAGTCAGAGTGCAAATACAGCATTACAGACAGACAGACTTAGGCTTTTATACTAGTAGAATAGGCAAAAAGTCAAAACAGTGTTGAAACAGCAAAACTGTTTTGACGAAACAAAACAGAACAGTGCTGTTGAAATGAAACTAAACTCAAAACGAAACACAGTTGCATCGAAACGTTGAAACAGAAGTCTAAGCGGAACTGTGCCATTTCACACAGCCCTAATAATCAGTATTCAGGGGTATTCATTGATGAACTTTTCCATGCAAAGAAGGGAACCAGGCAAGCTAGACATCCTCCCAAAGGTCAAATTAAGATAACCTGGCTACCTTAACTTTTCATACGTAGGCATGAAACAGCATTACATAATTTTTATATCCCGTGTGTCTCATAGGTGGAATAGTTACAGCTCACAGATATTACATATCATCTAAAGCAGTTGGCCCAATAACACAGCCTAGTGAGAATTGAATTCTGCAGTGTCCAATTCATGTTGCTTACCCAAATTAAATTCTGAAGATTTTTCCCTTTCCTAGTATTAAATCTTGAGAAAGCTGTCTTCAAAAACATAGAAATGAAATAATCAGGCTTTCTTTGGGGGGGTTTCTCATTTACCTAATGTTCTGTTTTTATCAATCACTTTTTATACACCCTGAAAGGGATTTTTCTTTTTAATGCAGCATCAAAATAAAGAACATAAAATATTTAAAAATAGTTAAAATCCTGGTTCCACTGAACTTAATGGCAAAACTCTCACTGGCTTTGGCAAGGGAAGGTCCAAGCTGAAAGCTGGCCTTTCATAGCCTGTTTGGATCAAATGACAAGTAACTAAGATTGTTCCTTAAAGTCAAACTTATCACCACTTGGAACAAGTCAGTTACATAGTTGCCATTAGTTTTCATTTTAACGTAGCTCCACACTTCCTGGCTTTCATTGTCACTCTTCCTTGGCTTTTTATATTTTACCTACCACAATGGTATCTAAGGCACAAGAATGACTGATCTTTTGTTTTGTTCCCTAGTCTGGCCGGAAGCAGGAAGCACTGAAAACCACATGGGAAAGCCTGGCTTTGCAAGATTTCCAGGACAGTTTTTCAGGCACTTGAAGTTCAGATAGTTGGGACAAGCATCTCAGCTAAACCACTGAAATTTTTGAGGTTTGCTCATCTTTAAGTGAGACACAAACAAATGAGGAAATTAATAATTAAGGCCAACATTCCATCTTTCATTCATCCTGTTGTTCCAGGGTGTATAAGTGCCTCAAACTAAATATAAGCAACATTATATGAGTTATTTAAAAAAAAGAAGACTTGCATTGGGTTCAGCAGGAATTAGATTGGACTATATTGTGGTGCAATGCCCAAGGACCATGGGATAAGAAAAATATGGAGTGTCAGCCTGGGGTTTGAATTTATTTTGTTGTATCCCAAGCAGTACCTGAAACCTAGTGTTTTACATGTTAACAATACATTTGTTACAGCTGTCTTGTGGAATGCTTAATTAAAGTGATATTTTGTTTCAGATGAATAATCTCTAACTGTTTTATTGTCATTTGACATTAAATTGCAATTTGCCATGCCACACACATTTCTACACACTTTGTCAATATGATCATAAAGGCCATTACTGACCAAAAACATAATACTTACCAAGTGCCTTAAGAAAACACTAGGATTTTTCAAGTTTTATTTTCTCTCTTTTTTTTGTAGTTAAATGTAGATAGCTTTGTTTTTTTAAAGCTCTTTGCTGCCCAATAACTCCAGGTGCTAACAGAATTTAACATTCAGTTGTCATGCACCGCTCAGCTCTCACCACAGATTTTTGTGGAATATGTTCAAACCCAGGTCTTATTTTCTCACATATATTTCACTGCTAAGGTCACTTCATTTAAATGGAATGTCAAGCACTTTTTAGTTGCCACAATAGATGCTATTAATACCCTTTCTGGAATAACCAGTAGAGGGGGTACTTACAATAAATGGCCAGCTCCAGTCTCCTCCCCCTTCCTCCTCAAAAATCCAGGTTTCAAGTATTCAATCCATGCTTCCTCCTCCAGGCTACATGAATCATTTCTGCTATGAACTTGTGACCCTTAGCTCTGTAATGCAGCACACTACTATACCAGTACCATAAGGCAGATAATGTGCAGCTACTTTGGTCTATACTACTACTGACATTTTAAAAGCTGCACTGAATTAAGGGAACAGAGTACGTGTCACACTTGAGTTCAGTGTGCAGAGGGAATAAAATGGCAGGGTATTATTTCCAAAATTCTAAGACCCCCCACTCTCCTTTAAATCCATACCCTCTCTTATTTCACTTTAACTGAAGAGGTAAAATAGAATAGAATAGGCTTAGGTGAAACTACTGTTTGTATTAGTGCTACATTGCTTCTGCTTTACAAGTGAGCTGAAGAAGTTTATGAACATAATCTGTTTATTCCATTCTTTGGTCTTAAGATGCAGGAATTGAACTGGTGTGTGTTTTCCTTAAAAAGGAAGTCACAGAAGTCTAGGTTTAGTTTGGGTGAGGTTCAGCTTCTGCTACATTTTTCCAAGTTTACCAATCTTAAACATGGCTTAACTTGAGAGGAGTTATTGAACCATCCTGGCCAAAATCTTACAAACTCTGAAACAGGTAGCTCACCCTACCCAATTACAAATCTTATTGAAATGACAAATAGGAATATGCCACTGATGCATACAAAAAAATTTAAAAGAGACACTGCTCTGTCAGTTGCCCTGAGGTCATCATTAGTTAGTATTTTAATAACTCGTTTGATTAAATACTAGGCTATTGTCTTGCAATTATGTGTATTTAATGGAAAAAATACTCCCTTTCCATTAGGAATTTATCTTTTACTACATTGGGTTTAATGAAGTTGCAGCATCGCCACAAGTAATGAATAATGGATATACATATTTTTTTGGCGGGGGGAAGAATGGCAAAATAAGTATTCTCAGAAAACTAGCTGGCATGTGTAATTTGATGAGCTCACTTAATAGTTCAACTGTTGATCAAAAAAGTAAATTATACTCACTTGAATAGTTCAACTGTTGATCAAAAAAGTAAATTATATAAGTGGATACTGCAACCCAGAAACATGTGGACACAGCTGTAGTATCATGTGTCGCAGCTCTAGTCTTTGCCAGCTGGCACCAGCACAAAGACAAGCCAAGCCAAACAATTACTGTTATTCATAACAGCAAATGTGCATTCAAAACACACAGTGCAGGCTTTATAAAATAACTTCGTATTCAAATGTATCCAGACTGTTGAATTGTTTTTTAATCGCACATCACTGTATGCCAGGCAAATATGCCAGATTGTCCTAGCAGTCCAGAAGTTCTTCTCTTTACCCAATTAACCAAAGCACTGTAAGGGCCAGTCTATGGGTGGTTTGTGCTTCAGGTCTTCAGGGATCTTCACAAACTTAACAAATAGTCAAACACAATCTACACATTAAATAGCAAGACTTTCAAATTGACAGTCATGTACACATGCATATATTTATGTGTGTGTTATGAAAATTGGTTCTTTGGCTCATAAAATCAGATGCAAGTAAGAAGTATACAAGAGTGTGAGCAATTTGAACAGTTTCACAGACAAAATCATCCTTTTTCTATCTAACCTATCTACATAGAGGACAGAAATCTGAAATGCCAGAGGTGTTCACTGTACTTCTTTGTATTGGGGTCTGTTCCAAGTATGCAACTAAACTTAGACTACATATTCTCAGCAAGGAGTTCATGGAACATGCTCTTGGTGATAAAAAGTTGGGTTTTATTCAGCTGTTTTTGTTTGTTAAGATGTATACCACCTTTACATACAACAAAAACAAAATTATGTAGTAAAATACTACAGAAAAGGTCCATATCAGTACAGTTTTATTACTCTACAGTCTATCGCTTTGAACAGTTACTGTCGAACTGGGGTGACCAACCTGCAGCACGGGTGCCACAAGTGCCATGAGCCTGTCTGTGGCATGCAGCAAATTGGGGAGGGAGCCAGAAGTACAGTGGCAGATAAGGCAGGGAGCAAAAATCAGAGCATCAGATCAGAGAGGGAGCCCAGGGCAGAAAGTAGAAAGCAGTGCAACAGGTTGGGCAGGGAGCACAGGGCAGGGAGCAGAAAGCAGACCAGCAGATTGGGTAAGAGAAAGGGACTGAAATGGCACTTGAGGTGGGTGTAGATCTAATTTGTGGCACACCTGCAAAAATGGTTGGCTCCCATGGAAGTAGAATTTGCGAAGTGTTTCTAAAAAGGGTGATAAACAGCAATAAAAAATATCAAAAGTTTATAATAAAACTCATTTGAATTTGAAATTTTAATAAAAGTGGCCAGATTCTCAGTTGGAGCTTCTCAGCATTTATGACAAAAGGATCTCTTAATTTACTCTTGATGAAAAGCTGACTCTGTAAGTTTAAAAACTGTTAAAATGAAAATAATATTGTGTTAGTTCAGAATTTTCAACTTTTTTAAACAAAACATTTTGTCAGACCTTTCAACAAAACAGCAGGCACAATAGTTACTTCTATTTGAGCAATCAAGGAGAAAGGAGACAATTTTTCCTTCTGCTGAAGCCAACCAAGTTGCATTCCAGAAGAGAGGGATTATGATCCATTACCACAATGCTGCACAGCCTATTGCTGATTATGGATTACTTCTGGCAGCAGGAACTTTGCGTGTGTCTGTTCAGAGCCATCTCTCAAAACATTACTATTGCCTATTGAAGGAAGCACTAATGAAGCTTATGACTGGGTAAACAACGTACATGTGAAAGGTATAAACACTGGGAAGTGCTGGATACCATCTTTTTATGTCTTCTATACCTCTGCTTATTTTTGTAGGACATGATTCAGATTTTCTGCTATTATAAATTGATTTCAATCTTGTTCAACAAAATTAAAACAGATTTCCAGCAGATGAGGATCTAATTCTGCATTTTTTAAAGAAGAGGAAGCAAACACACAGCCCATGCTGGCTACATGCCAAAGAGCTATGCTATAGTGCCCCCTGGCTTCTGGCCTTGGCCACTGCAGGCAGGTGGCTGCATTTCCTGAATCAAAAGTGAATGTCTGCCAAGTTGTTTCTCAGTTTAATCTCTGCATTTTAGACTAACCTGCAAAAAATTAATTGATTTAGTTTTGGACTTTTTGACTGTCTATATTTAGCCTTAAATTACTGATGTGTGTGGTTGTATCACTAGAGTTTCATATTTTCTTTTGAAAGGTAGATTAGACAAAAGCACCAACACATTTGTTAAGTAACTTGTATAAATTATACTTCTGAATAGCAGCCTCTTCTTTCTTAGAGTTTGATGTATGTATTACTGAACACCAGCTATGTTCTATTATACAGCATGATTTAAATATACGCAATCCATTTCAATGCTGATTATGTTGAGTGACCTGTTGAATTAAAGGTCTATGTGGCAATGATTTTGCCTAACTTGAGGTCTTAGTTATTTAATTTTATTGTTTTAATCTTTTTATAAAGAAATTGTGGAACACCTTGAGTGGAATCCCTCCAATGAAGTTCAAAGAAAAAATGCCACTGATATCATTGGGACCTAATAGATACATATTCAGGTGAGACTTGTCAAAAGCATTCAAAATTAACTTAACCCTTCTCCTCAAGATGTTGGGAGTCTTACCATTGACTTCAGTGGGAGAAAATATAGGCCAATGCTGAGAACTTTTGAAACCTTGTTCCTATGGATTAAAATTAAAGAATCAGATATCTAAATCTCTTAGAGGGCTTTGAAATTTCCTTCCTAAAAATTTAATGAGAGAGATGTTGTTTGCATTTAAATACTTCCCAGCAGTATTTGCAATGCAAGCATTTTAGCTAAGCACTAATGCATGAGTTCCTGCTTTGAGTAGGGGGTTGACTGGATGACCTCCTGAGGTCCTTTCCAGTCCTACTTCTTTGTGATTCTGTTATTCTGCATTATTAATTAGAAGCAACATGAAGCTGACTATTCAGTTTCATTTTTTCCAATCAGAATGAAATGAATACAAAAATAAGAAGTAAGTTTTTTTTAAGTAGTGTTAATAGTATCATGTGCTGTTAATAAAAATAGGGAAGAATTTTCTTTTCTTTTTTTTTATACACATAGTTTTTCATGTGACAGCATCCTATTTAACAGGCCAGGTATAGACATTACATTTTTACTGGTTTCAGTGATTGGAACCCGGTCTATACCAGTAACAGAACAGAAGTTTGGCACACAAAACTAGTGTATACCCATAACAGAAGTTTGGTACACAGTAATAGGTTTAAACATGGTGGAACCTAGTATAAGATTTGACCCTCCCCACCACATTCGAAGGGTGAATGTGTGTTCTGTCTGCCTACCTAAACTATACTCCTTCCAGAAAACTACGTAACTTAGATCGATTCCACCTTGGGCTTTTTGAATGTATGTACCTAGCCTCAATGTTGTATAAGAACATTGTAAAAGCCTCAATGTTGAATTTCATGTAAATCAGCAAATGTT